TTTTTAAACTCTCAGAAACAGGCTGTAGTCTGAGCTTCAGATGTGGCGCTATACATTTTAGCCGCATCAAAGAAACAAAGGAGTTGGCAGCTAAAATGTCAAAACTGTCTAAAGTTTGATCGGTTGTGCTCTGTCTGTATTCTTAGATGTGACCAAACGAGGTGGATGTCAGTTTATCAGCTTTGTTCTGTGTAGCCATGGCGGTGTGTTATAGCTTCAGGAGACTCCACAATGTTATCCTCGTGGTTTTATCTTAAACGATAAAGAGATCATTGACATCGATCGCTTGACATTACACATCCAGCTGGAGGATATCTCACTCAGCCCACCACAGCTCGAGAGCACTGGATGTGCTCTCCTGGACATTTATTCCTCCCACACTTTCAACTGATTGAAGCGTTTGCTGTCCTACAACGGTCCCCGACACTGTGATTTATTATTACTGTGAATGGAAGCTACGGTGGACGAGGCTGATCAGTCACTGTCATCTGCTGAGCTGCGATTATAAATACTGACAACATATCGGTATTTGTAATTAATATATTAATTAATTAATTGATGGTCCGGACAATATCCTATTCGTATCTGCTGCCCACTTTTTAGTTATAGCGGAGCAACTTTATGTTGCTGATTTAAATCAGCCTTTATATTTCTGCCTCATCAACAAACAAGTGAGTAGTTACACACAGAGAGCTCTGTGTGTGTGCGTGTGCAGTGGAGCCAGCAATGTGGGCCTTCAGATGTCCTACATGGCATAAATGGCTTACCTGCAGTGCTCCACTGTGGCTTTTCATTACACATCAGGGTTGTACATGTTGTGTTTGTGCTGTGTTGCTTTGCTGCTAAGCTGTTTAGGCAGTATCCCCTCACGTATGTTCATTAGTTACAGTATGGATGTGAACCGTGCGCTCATGCTGGTAGCCTGCGTTTGTGGTATTCATACTGGAAGTGACTCCTCAACAGCAGCAGTAATAAGTTTTCTGTGTTTGGGGCACTCGGTATACATCATGGAGGGTGGATGGCACCGCCTAAAGGCCACAATATACTTGCTGTAATGGTCGTTTCACTCACCGCAGCAACCACAGGAAGCCTCTGCAGTAATTACCTGGACAATAGGTGTCGCCAATCAGACAGTCAATACCAAAGCTAAGACTTTGGAGAGGGGGCACAAACGCTGAAGTTTTCAAACTGTTCCAAGCGGTCTCTGAGCTCCTGAGCTGGAATATTATTAAAATGGCGGGAATAGCCGGCATGATTATGCACTCGTGTCCTCAACCCGGCGGCGGCCACAGCGCAATGAGCCCAATTGCAAGAATCTGAGCACGCGACAAGTCGAGCATAATGGCACTGTTAATGGGTGCATGCTAACCACCAGCCTGCACTGGCATGGCTGCAGCTGTTTTGGTTTTTGCTGATCTCGCAGAGGAATGATGGGACAGTAGAACTGTCCTTTTTTTGTTTTTTACGACCAGTTGATGTGGAGGGTTTGTTGTGGAATTAGTGGAAAGGTCTACGTCTGAATAGAAATAAAGTTGCATGATACCGGAGATCAAATAAAAGCACTATATAGAGCAGCATTAAGGCACTGTTTCCGTTTGTCTTGTTTGTTTTACCCATCATCCTCTGAGTCGTTGTGTAACTGTCTGTGTGTGTTCTTGTGTAGATGACAGCGATGACGAAAGGGAAGTGAGTCGAAAGCGTACAGTGCGTCAGGCGGCCTCAAAGGCCGTGTCCAAACAGAGAGAGATCCTGCTGGGAGATGGAGGCAGCGAGGATGAGGAACACGAAGATCAAGAGGAGTCCTACATGGACCGTATGTAGAACACAGCACACTTTGATACAGCAGCTCATGTCTTCACTAAAAACAATGTACCTGTATCTTCATTTGCTAGGACACAGGCAACAGTGAGCTGTTTTTGTAGTATGAATTTTTATCACAGCTTAAATGGTATTTTAACTAGTAATTGTTTTCAGACTTTAGGTCTGGTTTTTAGTTTGATCTATAGCCTCCATTCTTCGTGGCAATAGTACTCATACTGTGAGCATGCATGCACCTTTTCTGGCCTCTTTAAACCATAGATAAACCATCGTGTTGGTGATGCTTTTGTTTGAAGCCTGGAACGATTTGGTTCTTTTGAAACTGTACAGGAAGCCAAGCAGTTCAAAAGCTTGGCAAAAACAAGACACCATTCATCTAGCTGTTCATCCAGCACATAAGCCACTGTACATACCTCACTCTATCCAGGTATTCACACTGGAAATAGCCGGGTGTTTACTTTAATTCACTGTGTTCTCCACAACATATACACATGATGGGAAAATGGAGGCATTAGAAAACACCCAGATACAATATTTGGTCCCTTTCTGCTAACATAAACAGTGCATTTGATTATAACTCCTGTGTCCTGGAGGTTACTGTTCAACAGCGTGTTTATCTCCACAATTTACAAACTGAACTTCAAGTTGTTTTCACTCACCAGAGTTTGTCAGCTAAGCTAAGCTCAGTAAGCTTTTTTTCTCATAACTTAATTGGTTCTATTACTAGTTTTAGTAGTCTTTAGTCTTGTGTTTTCGCTCCCTATATGTTTCTATTAGAACGATAAAGCAGGTTGAGTTTGGGGGCAGAGCTACATTGGGATCGACAAGTCTTTAGATCATGTTCATGCAGACCTACCCCTCAGTTTCAAAATGCCTGGTTTGCTTCTTGGTGGGACGCTGAGGTCACTACTCCCATCTTTTATGTATAGTCTGTGGTATCACTTGTCTGTGATATCAGTAGACTTCCAAGTCTTGCAAATTGGATGTGACCCAGAGAGCCACAACAGTCAAACTGGAAATGGAATCATCCTCTAAAGCCGCAGTGCTATCATGGTATTAACTGGAACTGGAAATGGATGAAGACATTAAAGTACCTCAGTGTTTGAAATGGTTTTTGTTTTAAACTGAAGCTGGGGAGGCTTTAATATTCCAGGCATGCTGTGTATGTATGTAAACAGTGACTCTTGTTCAGTTGGATACCCTCTGTGCTCGCTCTCTGAGATTCTTCTGTGTCCTGTTTGCAGCTGACGAGTCTGGCAGCGATGAGGACTTCATGGTGGAGGATGACGATGACAGCGACTACGGTCACTCCAAGAAGAGAGGCAAGAAGGTGATTCGACGGCGACGGACAGACAAGGAGAAGAAAAGCCCCAAGCCACGGCTAAAGGCCACAGGTGAGGCAGCCAATCAGAATACAGGTGCAGGAAGATGGGTCCCAGTATGCCTGTGACGTGGCTTCCTTGCCCACCGTAACTTCATTGTGCAGTCACAGGAGGTCACTGCAGTATTCTCCTGAATGATAGGTGACGCCATTCAGACAGTACAACCACAAAAATGCTGATGTAGGAAGAGAAGTAGTCAAAACCGGAAACAACGACTTTCCAAGTGTGTTTTTTTTCCCCCCCCACAAAGTTTTCAAACAGCTGCAACATTTCCCTCTGTATATCTGTGTATCTCTGAGCACACAAAACCTTCAGTTTTTACACCCAAGTTGTTTAGTTTAGGAACTGTCAGAATATTTAATGAATATGTTAAGTAAGTTGACATGCTGGCTGTGAATGCTGTTCAAAAGTTACAATCTTAAATGCTTATACGAGGCTGGGTTGCAGGCAGAGAAGCCCAAGCCTTCCCCTCAGTCATGTCCAGCTTATCTGGGGAAACACGGAGGCATCCCCGGGCCAGCCAAGTAATATAATCCTTTCATTGAGTCCTGGGTGAGGTGTTCTAGGCATGTCCCATTAGGATTTGACCCAGGGGGTGACCATCTCCAAGTAGCAGTGCTATTTTGAACCCCTCTTGAATGACTCAACTCAGAACCCTATCGGTGAGAGAGAGGACAGTCACCCTTCTAAGAAACCTAATTTCCACTGTTTGTGTCTGCAGTCTTATTTTTTGCCTTCAAAATAATGAACGATAATAAGCTGCAGCTCCATCTGGTGGCAGATGGCTACGTAACATTTAGGACACGGCGATTTGTAGCATTTTCAACGGAAATGTTAACAATTAGATTAAATAACGAGTGCGTCGAGTACTAGTGACAATAGCAGCGATCAGTCGACTAGTCATTACCCTGCCCTCCCTTCTCTCACCCCAACCGGTCGCAGCAGATTGCCCCGCCCCTACCTGAGTCTGGTTCTGGCGGAGGTTTCTTCCTGTTAAAAGGGAGTTTTTCCTTCCCACTGTCACCAAATTGCTGCTCATAAGGGGTCATATGATTGTTGGGTTTTTCTCTGTATGTATTATTGTAGGGTTTACAATATAAAGCGCCTTGAGGCGACTGTTGTTGTGATTTGGCGCTGTATAAATAAAATTGAATTGAATAGTCGCACACATCGTGTTTTGTGTGCTCTAAAACGAGAGCTGAACAAAATTTTCCTGACAAATGCAGGAGAAAAGTAAGTCGCTGCTTGCTGACAGAAATACTGCAGCAGGCTATTACAGGACTACACATATGCAATGTACATTAACAAGTACTTGTTAAGGTTGATGGTGCAAAAATGTGTCACTGAGTGGATCCTGATCAGAAATGGAAACAGAAAATATGAATTGGTTTGCCTTTGCTTTGCACCTTTGCTTCAGGTGTGTGCCAGTGCAGAGCAGTGGGTACCGACCAGTGTTAAATATATTCCTCATTGTGAGTCAGAGTTACATGGCAGCCCACCTGTGTGCATTCACCTGTGCGATTAGTCACTGACTGATTTGTGTCCTTCTCTCTGAAGTGACCCCCAGCCCAATGAAAGGAAAGGGGAAGGGGCGCCCCAGCACCAAGGCGATGGAGAAGAGCTCACCCAAAGAGGAAGAAGAGGAGGAGGACCCAGAGAGTCCCCTGGAGGAGGAAGAGGAGGAGCCCGAGAAGAAGGAGAGTTCCCCAGCTCCCAAGAAGACAAAGGAGGCCGCAGGAGGAGAAGAGGAAGAGGAGGACGAGGAGGAGGAGGATGGCTCAGAAGAGGAGGCACCCTCTGGAGAAGACTAGAAGATGGTACCCATTTGAAGCCCATCCTCCACATCTCTCTCTGTCTGTTCTCAGTGGGTTTTTTCTGTTCTTCTTTTTGTTGTTTTGTTTTTTTTTCTTTTTGTTTTGCTCTGCGTTTAGACTTTTGTTTGTTTTTTTGGTTCTTTTGGTTTGTGCCGGTGGCCTGGCTCAGTGGTTTGGACTTGGTGTGCTTCTTTAACCTCCCCCCTCCTTCTCGCTGCCTCCAGCTTGGACATAGTGCTCCTGTGGCTGTACAGCATATGTAAGGACTTAGCATTTTCTCTTCATCCTTTCTGGATTTTCGTGTGAAAACTGTCAGCGCTAGCAGGCATCCGTCCCGAGTGTGAACACACCCCTTCACTGCTGTGTATCTTTGTTTCCTCCTCGCGGTTATCAGGCATGACTGGCCACACTCTTTACTATTTTTTTATTTTTTTACTGATATGTGTCGGTAAGTTGAGCACTGTATTTGCAACATGACGTTGAGTGAGCACGTGCAGGCAGCGGTCAAGCCTTCACCCTCTCTGGTTTGCTTTTTTGGCACCAGGTGGTTGTTTTAGACGGTTCTTTGAGTTTGAGCAGCGTCTTTTAAATTCTTTTTAAAGCTAGCTCCGCTTCCTTCAGACACTTTGATCTACATAGTTTGCGGCTGCTGTGTTCGCTACATGTCAGACTGCCACCGTTGCACATTTCAAGAAGACGCGCGTGTGTGTGCCTTTACATACACGCTTAAATTTTCATTGGGGTACTTTTTGTATTTTTCCTCTAAGCCCATCAGCTGCCTTTGTGAAATGGTTTCTGTTGTTGTACATCAGGCTTTCTAATAACCTCCTTTTAAAAACACACACACAATTTCTATTCCCTGCATGGCTACAGCATCTTCTGAACACTCAAGCCCTTGTGCCAGGCATCCTGAAACCGTTTTATTTTAAGAAAGACGTGTTTTT